GAGTGAGGCTGAGAGACTTCAGAGAAGTGTGACTGGCCCAAGGTCACCCAGCAGCTGCATGTGGAGGAGCGGAGACGCGAACCCGGTTCCCCAGATTACGAGTCCACCACTCTTAACCACTACACCACACTGGTATGTAAATGTAATAAATAAATGAAAGCACACAAATATAATTTCATCCATCATATATGGAAATTCAGACCCATGAGATGTATTTTTTATTTGTATCTCAGAACTTGTGGCCCAACACTAACCAGCTCAAGCAACGCTAACAAATTAAATAAAAATGGAAAGGCATCTCAATGTAGCCCAAATTCCAAGAGCAAGACCAGTGAATGTGATAGGCATCAGGGAAGTGATCCTCCTGCCTCTAAAGCAAGGGAAATTATTCACTCAGTAACATGAAACAAAATACTTACAGTAAAGGGAAAGGGCCTCTGTGCCCCCACCTGCCCTGTCCTTTTGGTCCTTGTCATGCTTGTGATGTTTGTGGGCACAACTACAGATCCAAGATTGGAGGGTGGTTTAATACACCAATAGCATCGAGTTGAATCATCGTTTTCAAGACTCCGCCGTCTACATCTTTGAGGTTCCTTACTGTGCTGATGGAATGGCCATCAACGTCTTGCCAGGAGGCTTCCAAGAAGCGGAATAGTAGATCATATCAGGCAGAGCTACACCTATTTGCAGCAGCTGGGAATCTAGGCCCTGTCCCACCAAGAGGCAAGTCTGCAAGTGTTTCTGGTGGTTGTTTTTTTAATCAGAAGTGAAAAGTCAAATTGATGGCCTTTTGGCTCTGGGCTAGAAAGAGCTCGCGTTTTAAGAGAAAATGGCAGAAATAAGAAATAGGAGGCAGCAAGACGATAGTCCTTTCTGCAGTGAACCAAACAATCAATCCAGTTCAATGTTATTTGATTAAATGCAATTTATTACTGAGATCATGCCAGTGTTGGGGCTGTGCATCTGTCAACGGAGGTTTGATGTAATTTGTACTTAAAGGCAAACTTAGCAAATTCACACTTTCCCAGAAGCATCAAGCAACATTATTCTTAGAAATTTGCATTTCTATGAATTCTTCAGTGCAGTTCTCCAGCCAGGTGCAAAAATGCATATATTAAGGGAACGTTAGCGAAAATAACATGCATGTATTAGTGAAAACAGCTTGCAAAAATGTGTATATTTGTTTAAAACTGCATACGGAAATGTGTTGATTAGGAAAAGTTTGCAACAGAACACTGATTAATTTCAAATAAATAAATAAATGGCAAACTGCTGCAGCAACGTGGCAAACTGAATTTTAGACTGGGGGGAAAGAGAAATTGGGAGAACAAAAACGACAGCTCGGTTCATCCCTATTGGCTGGGAATTCCCCACATTTTGTTTTTCAGACATGCAGGATGTTCTTGCCTCGCCACCGTGGGAACAGCTGCCTTTGCGGGAGCTAAACTAAAACTTTACAGCCAGGCTTTGAAATCTCTTTGTTAACAAACAGGAGAACAGGGGTTGGCAGCAGATTGACTTAACCAATTAAGAAATTAAACACAAATGCAATGCAATGGGTAGCATTGAAACTGCCTGGGGACTGCTATCACTCTGTATAGCTTTCGTTTCTGAGGCTTACCTGCCACTGCCACTGTCTCCAATAGAATCAGGAATATATATATATATATATATATATATATATATATATGCTTCGTAGATTATATATATATAATATCAGGCTTTGTTTGGGTTGCATAGGTTGAGCGAGGAAGGGGAAGCATGCCTGGGAAGTGTCACGTTACAACTAGTGAGTTCAATGAAGGGCAAAGGCCTTGGGAAGCTACTGCTATACGCAGAGGGAGTGCCGAAGTTCTATAACTTGTTTTGACTTGACTACTCAAGACCATTCCATTCCATTCCATTCCAATCAGGCATTCTAAGTATCAGTTTGTTTCCTGGAAGTCACACCATATTCAACAAGGTGACCCAACAGGCTGAAACAGAGATCACTGTTGTTTCCCCCCCCCTTTCCCTTTTGCCCTTCATCTAAAGAGTCCAAGGTGGCATGGTTTCATTCACCCATTTTAGTCTTCCAACAACTTTGTGAGGTAGGAGGGGTTGAGAGAGAGAGGGAGGGAGGGGAAGATCGGCATTCTGTCCAAAACTGTGGCACGAGTCTTCCAAGATATACTCCTGGGTGAATCACAGGACCTGTGCACGCGGCATCAAAAGAGAGGGTTGTTTTTTCCAGGGCCAGAGCACACAAGAACACGACACTGAAAATGGCTGCCATGATGTCGTGCGAAAAAACAGGGCATCTTGTTTTTTCCAGGGCACTTGGGAGGCCTGCAGGTAGAGAACTGATCCTAGGTGAGCACTCTAACCTAACCTTGCCCAACCTGGTGGCCTTCCTGATATTCTTATATTATAACTCCCATCATCCACAACTATTGATCATGCTGGCTTGGGCTGGCAGGCACTGTAGTCCCAAACATCTGCAGTGCCCCAGTTGCTGTAGTGATGACATCACACTGGCTTTGTAATGTTGATAGAAAGTCTAGCTATTAAGGCTCACCATATTTTGAACCACAGAAATAGATGGGGCTGCGAGACCCTCATCCCTAAAGATACAATCATACTACATTGGCTCCCAGTACTTTGCCGAGCACAGTTCGAAGTGTTGATGCTGACCTTTAGAGCCCTAAACGGCCTCGGCCCAGTATACCTGAAGGAGCTTCTCCACTCCCATTGTTCAGCCTGGACACTGAGGTCCAGCTCTGGCAGTTCCCTCACTGCGAGAAGTGAGGTTACAGGGACCCAAGCAGAGGGCCTTCTCGATAGTGGCACCCACCCTGTGGAACGGCCTCCCATCAGATGTCAAGGAAATAAACAACTATCTGACTTTCAGAAGACATCTGAAGGCAGCCCTGTTTAGGGAAGTTTGTAATGTTTGATGTTTTATCATTTATTTATTTATTTTTGTATACCAACACAGTATTTATTTACTTGCCCCCTCTGAGCTAGACAGATTTGGTTAACAGACGGGACTTCCCCTATCTGCCACAGAACAATCAGGTTGTCGTACACACTGGACTAAACACAGGGGGGGGAAAGAGGAGAGCACATGACAGGCAGCACACCCGGCTCCTTCACATTGCAAAGAGAATGAGGAATGCCACCATCAAGCAGAACAGCCCCATGGCCTCAGAGAGTGCAAAACCCAGGATGGCATAGGAGAAGAGCTGTTGCTTCAGGGAAGGGTTTCTGGCATAGCCAATGATAAGACTGCCAAATACGGTCCCGATGCCAGCACCAGAGCCAGCTACACCTACGGTGGCAGCGCCAGCACCAATAAACTTGGCGGCAGTATCAATGTCCCTGGAAACAGTGCTGGTTTGGAACTCCCGGCGCAACACTGGCAAGAGCTCGTTGTGAGCACCTGAGAGACAACAAGGCTCCTTCGTCCCGACCTCAGGCCTGTTCAGCACAGAGGCAAAGATGGGCCTACAGAGCAGTCGGGAACTGTTCTTTATAAGGGTGGGAGCAGAGACGAACTTTGCACAGGTATACATATTCAGGGACGTTGCGGGTGGCCATACACAGCGGCTGCTGCTCAGGGGAAGACCGCAATAGAAGGGCCCCCTTTCGCACATGCCGTTTTATCGTGTCTTAAATATTCTGTTGGGAGCCGCCCAGAGTGGCTGGGGAAACCCAGCCAGATGGACGGGGTATAAATAAATTATTATTATTGTTGTTGTTGTTGTTGTTGTTGTTGTTATTATCATCATCATCTGCAGTGATCAACCTGGATTTAATTTCCATCAGCAAGGGAAAACTTAATTGTTTGCAAAAGCTTTTGCCATTGGGTAAGGGGAAATCCTGTTAGAACCCAAGCACATGTCACAAGGCAACCTGGTGTATCATTAAGCACATAGTATTTTGTTGTTTGTACATTGTCTCGAGAACTTTGGGGCAGATTGTGATGCATAAAAGCAATAAATGAATGAATATACCTGAAGGGGTACAGACTAACTTCAAAGTTCACATATTCATATATTCCTCAGGGCTCACGGGACAGTCAGCTATTGCTGATTTTCACCAGGTGGTACATCTTGTACAATTTCCCTATAGTTAAAAGCCAACAACTGTACCTCCCCAAAACACCACCTTGGGACAACTTTGTGAGGATGTTGTGGTCCTCCTATCCTTCCAGTTTCCAATGGAAGTCATCCCCACTCAAGGTTTAATTTTATTTCCCCCGTCTCCTTTTCGAACCACAGATTGTCACTCATTATTCTGTTTATAAGGAGTGACAGATTTCAGGGGGAGTAAAAATGCAAAGCTGGCGGGTTCTGAGCTCTTGCGCTGATGGCAACTTATCGTGTCATTGAGCCTTTTTAGCACCAGAGACATCATTCTGGCTTCATAATCCCTTCGGAGAATTCCTTCTTCCAACAAATATAGACAAGTGCTGTCATGGTGAGCGGAGGGAGAGGAAAAGAAAAGCCCTTTTCCTCCGAAACTATTTGCCATCCAGGAACAGAAAATGATGAAAAGAATGGCTTCCCATAACCGAAAGGATCACGTGTTTGCTTATCGGAAAATGATGCTGCGAGCTCAGTGTCTGGGTCAGTCGTCCCGTCCCCACAGTGTCTCTTGCTCATGTGAAAGTCACTTGCGAGATACAGTGTGGTATCTGCAGACAGCTGTCCTACTGGGCACTGGACAGACAGAATGGCTAGCATTGCTGAGCTATGTAGTCATTTGCGAATGGAATGAAGCTCTTGCGTTTCACAGTGATTCACATATGCAGCACGGTTACACTGCAAGACTCATCCCTTTCCCCCCTCCCTCCCGCCCCTTGACACTAGATCTGGCTAGTTAACATGCCTGGAATGAGAAAGCACCTATCTCGGAGCTGGCAGGGCTGAGGGCGTACTCGGATTCCCAGGTTGGAAGATTATCTCACTCCAAAAAAGTTCTTCCAGCAATATATAAGCTAAACTAGATTGGCGTTATCTCAGTAAAGCTGCCTTGGGTGGAGGAGGCATCCATCCTTAAAGGAGTACCACACACACACACACACACACACACACACACACACACACACACAAAGAGAGCACTATCGTTCTTTGATAAGCGGCAGCAACTATGATGATGCTGAGAGTGGAAGAGCTGGTAGGTACAAAACTCACCTTTCATAGTAACTGCTGTGTTAAGGTTTGAACTGCGTCCAGTTTAATTGTGCACTGGTTATTACATTCTTCTGCAAATTGTCTCTTATGAATGTGGTGATTTATACCACTGTGAGAAGCTTGGCTGTTCTTTTGGTGGTAGTTTTAACCTGTGCCATGCATGATGACTTGAGCAGATTGTGCTGGGATGTAATTCTGAAGGTGGCCCTGTTTAGGGAGGCTTTTAATGTTTGATGTAGTACAGTATTTTAATATTTTTTTGGAAGCCGCCCAGAGTGGCTGGGGAAGCCCAGCCAGATGGGCCGGGTAGAAATAATAAATTATTATTATTATTATTATTATTATTATTATTATTATTATTATTATTAATTTGTCCAGCTGAGTTTGTGTGGTGGTTAAGAGCAGGAGCTAAGAGCTGAAAATCCACCCAATTCAAATCTCAGCACAGCTGTGGGCTTGCCTGGTGGCTTCAAGCAGGCTGGTATCGCATAGTCTCAAGCCTTTATTGCATTATATCACAAGGTAAATAATGTTGGCCTACCTTACAAAGTTGTTGTAATGATTACCGAAAGGATGTGTGAGATGCCTTAACAACACAGGGAAAACATTAATGAAATACTAAGCATCTTTGCTGAAGAAAATGGCCTAACTTTAGGGTAGTTCCAGAGTGTATAAATCGGATTATGTGCTATAAATCATTATGCATGTAAGAAAAATGGAGCTGGTTCTACCTTAGGAGATACAATGGACTCTTAAAGAAAAAAAACAAAATAAAGGAAGGAAGGGAGGAATATCTGCTTATTTTTTTGCCATCTTTTGATCCAATGGGACCTTCAAGGTGGTTCAAAACAAAATATAACTATTATCTGTGCTGGGAACAGGGATGGATTGCAGCTCCTAATCTCATAAATTACACGTGATTCAACTCTTGCCAGCTGCGTCCAAATTAACATCTAGGCAAAGAAACTCGTGAGCATGTTTCCAGCTATGTTTGAGCTGTGCCAAGCACGCAAGCTGGATTCAGAAGTAATTGGGAACAATTCTGGGCAGGATAATAAAGAGCCAAAAGGAGTTGAGTGGCTTAATAGGCCTCTTCTCACCTCTGATGTTCATAACTGCTATTGATGACAGGAATTAGTAATGAAAGAAGCAAGCACAAGGCAGGATTCTTTTGGACTCGTGGCTTTCTTGAAAAGGTCCAATGAGTGCATTTCCTATCATTATAGAATCCGCTTCACCCAGGAGTTGCCCGGTCTGTCAAGTAAGAGAGACATTTACTGAGTTCACTACTTTGCTAGAGGGGATGTTTGTCAAGCTGTTCTTGAGGACGCGATAATGCTTGTTGAACTCTCTAGTGACTTAAGTCAATGAAAATTGATCAAGGCTGCTATCCCAGACACAAATATCTCACAGCAAGTCAGATGAGTGGCTTACTTCTGAGTAGCCATGCCTAGGATTGAACTGTTAAGACTTAGATCCCTGGAAGGGCTGGATCAGATTCTCAAATAAAAGTGGATTCCTAACAAATAAATACATCTAAGCAAGAAGTTTGGAAACGAAATGCGTCTGGATCTAAAGAACTGCTCGATTTATTTTGTGCATGTAAGGGACCTTTGGACTTGTGCTTTTTGACAGCAGGTGCCCACACTACATGAGGAATTTCAGAATCAGATGGCATAGAGGTTTGCCAATTAGTTGGGGTGGGGGAAAGATGATAAAAAAAACATTGGGTTTCAGTAAGCTCTTGGCTTACTCCTACTGGCTCTCAGAATCCCAGTTACCACCCCCAATCCAGCTAAAGTTAGTCAGGAATAACATACATTAGTCCAGTGTTTCCCAACCTTGGGCCTCCAGCTGTTTTTGGACTACAACTCCATCATCTCTAGCTAGCAAGACCAGGTCAGGGATGATGGGAATTGTAGTTCAAAAACAGCTGGAGGCCAAGGTGGGAAACACTGCATTAGTCATATGCATCTACCTTGCTTCCTTGATTTCAGTGAGATGTAGTCGCAACTATCTTTAGCTTGCGCCAATGCATGCATTGCACTGCCTGATTACTGTACACACAGCACACTTCCAACAGGGAAAGAAAAAGACTTGATTTTAAATGTGATGTACAGAATGCCTGAGGCCACAGATTTACTTAGTTGTTTCTAACATACAGGAGAAATTTTGTACCTGGATCCATATGCATACTGCCGCGTCCATGTATGTCGTTTGTATAGCGTTTGTCCACCATGGAGAACTCCATTTTAAACTTACTCACTTCTCAGCCTATTTGTTTCCAAGGGCCCAGTTACCAGATGGTTACAAGATGCCTGCAGCCCAATAAGTGTCTGGTTAGTTCCGATCAATATGTGAAATTCAGCCCGCCATCCTTCACTGCTTCTGGGCCTTCGGCGTCCTTTTAGAGTTGCCGGGTCAACAATGCTTCAGTGACAGGAGATGGCACAGCTAAGACAATTCTCCTGACTGGGCCTAAGCCTTAGGATCAAGGAAAGCTCTCCAGAGGTTGTGTATGGCAATTTCCATCAGCCCCAACCAGTACAACAAGGGATAACTGTACAATGATAATTCTATCTGAGGTGACTGCATAGTAGGTGATAATGTTTAGGTCCAAAACATCGGAAGGGTACCAGGTTGGCTGGCCCTAGACTTAGCAACTCAATGCACCCTTGGCCCACAGTCCCCACACCTCCAAATCTCCTTTTGCCTGCCCATTTCCTTTCCCCGTGGAGTTCACAGACCCTCCTACCCCTAAGCCCAAATATGTGGCTTTACCCCAGTTTTGCTTCCCCTGGATTTCTCCATTCTCCCGCCTGCAAGTCTGCCATGCCCATCCCATCCTCAAGTCTTTATTTTTCAGATCACTGTCTCGTTGGGCCACTTGCTTCAGTAACCTTGTGTCTCATTCCTGTATTCCTGCCCCAAATGGCAGAGAGCTCATTGTAAGTGCTATAAGCTAAAGATAACCCAAGCTGTCTGCTTCAGCTCCATTATTTCATTCTTCTCCAGCCTGGTTGCTGGACTCCAGCTGTCACCATCCTTGACCTTTGGCCATGCTGGCTGAGGACGATTAGAGTTGGAGTCCAGCAAGGTCTGGAGGGCACCAGGTTGGGTGTGGCTGACTCATTTTCTCAGGCCCTTTCCCCAAGCCTCACCTTTTTTTCTTTCTGGTCCACTTCCTACTTTGCACCCTTTCTTCAACCTCCTCCTTGCCTCTGACCTTCATGCTTCTTATCTCCCCTGAATACATATTTCCCTCCACAAACAAGCCTTACAAAGCCTTCTCTGGGTCATGCGAAGGGTGTTAAATTGACAGCTTTCCTTTCCAGATGCTGGTCTATGCACATTTCTACCTGTTCCCTGAGCATTTGGAATCAGATTAACAACATTCAGTGCCATGATTTCAACTCACCCATTGCTTTCCGAAAAGGCACCCTGTTTTTGAACCATTATTTTCACCTCCATTTCCTCAGTATTTCTCGAGGGCTGCCTGCCCTGTCCTCACATGTTAGCTCTGCTTCTCAATATGTCAGAAAGCAAGACGTTGACACTCTTGAACCATTGTTCCTTTGACAGGTGACAGGCAAAAAGGCCGACGGTAGAGAGACAGGAGATTTCCTCCCAGAGGACTTCAAAAATGGAGAGTATGAAGCTGCTGTAAGGTTAGAGAAACAAGAGGACCTGAAGACCCTCACGGACCACTCAGTGGCACGACACAATCTGACCTACAAAGAAGAGAAAGCGCTAGAAGCTGAGGTAAAATTGTGTTTATTGTGTATCTTTTTGCACTTCTGGAGCTCTGAAGTTTCGAATTCCTGTGGTCTGCCCTCTAACGAAGAAGGAAGTTTAGAAAAATAGAAAGGTCTTGATAGATGTACACTGGAAACCAGTAGAAAGATTCCCAACCCCCAGGGTCTTGTTACATTGCCAATATGTTATTAACTGGGACTCAACATATCCTAATTATAACTAGAAAACCAGGAATGAGAGGAAATTAGAAGGGATAGGCCACAACTCCCTAGGGAATACACCTGTTTTACATGGGGGGGGGGGGAAACCCACGCTCTACAAATTCAGTGTATTCAGCTAAGAGTGTCACAAACTACAGGATTGGGGAAAAGGTGTCTCTGAAAATCTGGAAAATGGCTACCAGTTATGGCTGAAAGCCATGGATTAGAGACAAACCAAGACATTTTGGTATTTGAGGCAAAAAGTAATCCCAAGTCTCTAGGCAGATATCTCTCCTCTTCACTGGAGATGCTGGGGATTAGGGATGGACAAATCTGTTAATGTCATTTTCTCATTTCCCCACCTGCATCAATTTGTGATTTATATATATTTTTTAAAAAGTTCTCATAAAAATTTATCACTTTAATGTAAATGTCTACTATACATATACTTCCATGCAGTTTTGCCTGCTAAACATATTCCCCCCCCCCAACAGAATTCATTTCATATTTTATTTTCAGGAAAATATGAATTTCTATGCAAACTTTGTCTTAATATATGAATTTACAAAAGAACTGCAGCGAAAATTCAGAGAAGTACAATTTTGTAAAGATAACTGGTGCCTTGGTTTGCACATAGGGCAGTTTGCATTAAAATGTGAATCAAATTTCTGCTGAGACAATTCACACTGAGACTTTCTGCACGCAAATAATGTGTTACCCCATCCCTCACATGCCAAGGACATATTGGCACATATGGGTTTTCCTCCTTAAAAACATTTTTTACTTCCGTTTATAATATAAGGTCATCTGTAATTGTTTGGTTCAGTGCCCAAAGAATTATGCCCATCATTTCAAGAATGGCAACATTATTAAAATCTTCCTCAATGAGAACAAAATTTTAAGGTGGGCAATAAAAATAAGATTCCACCAGCCCTCCCTCAAAGATATATGAAAATAGGAAAGACATTACTGGAATTTAAATCCACACACTTTTCCTTTGAAGTAACAGATTATTGTGAGCTGGTGATTTAGCATTTTACAGCTTCCCTGGCGATGGATTATTCAAATGAAGAATTACAGAACAGTGTTAAGTTTAAGGGCATCCAAATTCTACATGGGTTTTAAAGGGTTTTGAATCAACACACTTTTTGCAATGAAGTTTCAACTTGAATCTTGATCAAGAATCACTCCAAAAAGGAGATACAGTGAATCTTTCAGAGCAACAATCATTCTACATTTGGGGGATAAATTATGTCACTCATTAGCACCTTGTTCTGTGAAAAGCAAGTTGGGTTGTTACTCTACATTAAAGATGTAGCCTGCGCTTTAAATATAGGCTGACACATATTTATAACTAGAATAAATTCTAAGGAACATGTGACCCTGTGTTATGTCTGCATGGTTGCTTAATCACTTATCCATCTTACATTTAAATAACCAGTAGCATTTTTTCAGCAGAACTTCAAGTGTTATCTTTAAATTTGAATTGGTGTATTGATATTAGCGTAGTATTAGTAGCTGAAGTAACACCTTTTCTGATTATTTTAACTGTTGAAGGGGATTCCAAGGGACCCTGGAGATTGTATGTTGAAGCTAATGTTATTGTTCCTCATATTGCTCTAATTTCTTGGCAGTCACTCACAGTGGCTACTTCCAGTGCCTTTTTTCCGAGAGACGTGCCAGAACTCACCATGAACAGTTCCCTTGTTCTCTTAGAATGGCAATAGCGCCCACCTGAGAGGGGCTGGAACTGAGTTCCATTGAGCTCTGGCTGGAAAAAAAAAGCCCTGGCTATTTCCACCATTGGAAGTTGTATGACTCTGAATACCAGTTGCAGAGATTCACAGATGGGAACAGGACATTTTCACTCAGTTCCTGCTTGCAGGCTTTCCATAGGCATCTGGTAGGCCACTGTGAGAACAGGATGCTGGAGTAGATAAAATGGTGGTCTGGTCCAGGAGGGATCTTCTTATGTTCTTATTTGCTTTTGTTGTTGTTGTTCAGATCAAGAAAAAGAAATTAGAGGCAAGACCAAAACTTGAGAGCTTGGAAGATCTTGAAAAAATCATTCAGCTGAAGAAAAGGAAAAAATTCAAGAAGGTTAAAGTGCCCGTTGTAAAGGAGCCTGAGCAAGAAGTTATAGTAAGTTCAGGGGCAAAATAGTCTTCTCTGCTGTCTTTACGGGGTTCCCCCCCACGGAACTGAACTAACTCTTATTTCTGCTCTCCATCAGACTGAACCCGTGGATGTTCCAACATTTTTAAAGGCTGCCTTGGAGAACAAGATGCCAATAATTGAAAAATACCTGGCAGACAAAGGAGATCCAAACGTTTGTGATGAGGTATGATTTGTTCACCAATTTCTGTCCCAAATCTCCTATAAGGCGCACATCTTTGATCTTAGCTTTAACAGTCATGGCTTTCCCAAAGGATCCTGGGAGTTGTAGTTTGATGAGGGTAGAGAAGGTTCTCTCTTTAAAGAGCCTGATCTCTCCCCAACCACTGCTGTTTCCAGATCTCCATAGGGAGGATGGATGCCTCTCAAACCAGTTTTTAAGAGGTTTTTATGTCCTCCTTAAAAATTATATCTTAAGGTTAAATTTAAACTCCACCGCCACTCTGTCAGTGTTACCTTTTGAAGCAGATACACTTTTCACGGTTAAAGTATTCTGAACTCCCAAGACAGGAGAGCATTGTTTCTTTAAATGGGCATTCAAGCAATATCAAAAATCTATTTCCTTGTGCTTGTCGTGTTTTGTCTTCATGAATTTATGCTGTTTAAATTGTACAGCTAAGAGAGCCTACTGTTACTGAAGGGTGGCTTATAAACTGACAAAACTAAACAAGTTAAGTACATAAATGCCGTACGGGGCTGTTGTTAACAAAAGACTGAAATTATGATTTATCTGGCATTGTATACATATCTGTACATGACACCATACATAGTAATGAAAGAGAAGGCCTTGCCTTCAGGAGCTTAATTTAAACGAGGGGGAGGGAAGTTTAGCGAGGCACGAGAAGGAAATGAAAAACTTTACATGTGCATGTTTTGTTTTGGTAAGGGTGAGACGGGCGGGGTTAATTTATGTGTAAAGTGTTTTGAATATTCAACATGCTAAGGGCTGTATGATTTATTTCAAAGCCTTGCAGGTTAAAATTGACCACACTATGACTATTCCATTTGACAGTACAAGCGCACAGCCTTGCACAGAGCATGCTCAGAAGGGCACCTGGCAGTTGTGGAGAAGTTAGTAGAAGCAGGAGCCCACCTTGAATTCCAGGATATGGTAAGTGCTCATTGGACACATGCAGAGTTCCTTGGGGTGGCTCACACAGACACACGTTCGCTCCTCATCCACTGTAACCATCAATAAGCCATGCCTAGCCTGTTGCAGATGGAACCACTACAGTGGTACCTTGGGTTACAGATGCTTCAGGTTACAGACTCCACTAACCCAGAAATAGTACCTTGGGTTAAGAACTTTGCTTCAGGATGAGAACAGAAATCGCGCAGCAGCAGCGGGAGGCCCCATTAGCTAAAGTGGTACCTCAGGTTAGGAACAGTTTCAGGTTAAGAACGGACCTCCAGAATGAATTAAGTTCTTAACCTGAGGTACCACTGTATTACCTCCTGCTATCTCAAACACAAGGCTTTTCTTTTCAATAAAGTTTTTTATTTTCCAAAGTAATAAAACTTTTATCAACAATAACCGGGCACAAGTCTAGTGGCCAAGACTCATCAGGACATGAGTAATTAGGTGCTGAAAACTCACATCATGTATGAAACAGTTGACAAATATTTATTATTATTTTCCCCTGGTGTAGCTTGAATCCACAGCTATTCATTGGACCTGCCGTGGGGGCAATGTGGAAATCCTGAAGTACTTGCTGAACAAAGGAATAAACAGGAATGCTAGAGATAAGGTAAGCTATTATTATTTCCGTTTGAAAAACTGAGGTGGGAAAAGCTAAAAGTGGATTTGTGAGCTGTTTGTACAAGAGGCCCTTTTAGATCCGAGCTTGTTGTTTCTCACCTTAGAATGCCTTGCCCTGCTTCTGTTGATTATGCCTCTCCCTGCCCTCCCTTTTCTACCAGTTGCTCAGCAGTCCTCTACACGTGGCTGTAAGGACAGGTCAGTACGAATGTGGGGAGCACCTCATCGCCTGTGAAGCAGATCTCAATGCCAAAGACAGGGTAAGTTAGGAGTCAGCAAAGGTTTTCAGCAGGGGGGTGGTGCACTGTCCCTCAGACCTTGTGGGGGGGCGGACTATATGGGGGGGAGGAGGGAAATGAGCGAATTCCTTTGCCCCACAAATAACCCAGAGATGCATTTTAAATAAGGGGACACATTCTACTCATGTAAAAACACGCTGATTCCTGGAATGTCCGCTGGCCGGATTCAGAAGGTGATTGGGCTGGATCCAGCCCCCGGGCCTTAGTTTGCCTACCCATGGGGTAAGTGCATTCCAGATGTGTGAGCCAGGCTGTAAATTCCACCATCCCTGACTATTAAGTCATGCAAGCTGGGGCTGGCATGGGATCTGGCAGCCCCGGCAACACCTGGGTGGTGGTGTTCCAAGGTTATCCTTCCAGCTGAAGGTCCATTTCCATGGGGATTGCTTTTTCCGTATGACATTTTTATTAGGGCAAGCCTTATCAAACAACATTCCCATGCAGTAGAAGGGAAAGTGGATGTACAAGCCTTTCCCCCCACAAGGCTACATGCACAGGATATATAAGCAGCAAGAGTCACAATGCTGCTCAGAGGATGTCAATGAGTATGACATGTCCACCTCTGAGGCCCTTCTGGCAGTTCGCTCACTGTGAGAAGTGAACATACAGGGAACCAGGCAGAGGGCAGAGTGGCGCCCGCTCTGTGGAACGCCCTCCAATCAATCAATCAGATGCCAAACAGATAAACAACTACCTGACCTTTAGAAGACATCTGAAGGCAGCCCTATTTAGGGAAGTTTTCGACGCTTAATGTTATGTTTCTAGATATGTTGGAAGCTACCCAGAGTGGCTGGGGCAACACAATCAGATGGGTGGGGTACAAATAATACAATTATTATAGGTAAAGGGACCCCTGACCATTAGGTCCAGTCATGACCGACTCTGTGGTTGCGGTGCTCATCTCGCTTTATTGGCCGAGGGAGCTGGCGTAAAGCTCTCTTTCTGGTCATGTGGCCAGCATGACTAAGCCACTTCTGGCAAACCAGAGCAGTGCATGGAAACGCCGTTTACCTTCCTGCCAGAGCGGTACCTATTTATCTACTTGCACTTTGATGTGCTTTCAAACTGCTAGGTTGGCAGGAGCAGGGACCAAGCAACGGGAGATCACCCTGTTGCAGGGATTCGAACCGCCGACCTTCTGATCAGCAAGTCCTAGGCTCTGTGGTTTAACCCACAGCGCCACCCGCGTCCCATACAATTAATATAATACAGCACAAATCACTTCTATAGCATGCTGGTCTGTTTTCAAGGAACGTGCATTGCAGGAATTTGGTGCCTGTAGCCCTATAGCCTCCCAAATCCACCAACCCCAGTGAGCATAAGCAAGAGTGAGGGATGATGGAGGTGCAATGACACCTGCAGTTTACGGGCTCCCCGTTGCTCAGTTAGTGTCTTTAGTGTGGTAAAATAGCAGGTGATTGTGATCTCTTGAAGGAAACTTCAGGGAGAGAATAGCAATAGTACTTAACATTCCTTTGAACTCAGCTTCACAACAGCACACTTAAGTAATAATCATTATCACTATTGGGTGCAAGATGATGGTGTCATTTATTGAGTACTTTCACTATTACGCCAGTAGAGCCCCAAAGCTCATTATATTCATTTTTGTCTCCTCTGTTCTAGGAAGGAGATAGTCCTATGCACGACGCAGTGAGACTGAATCGTTATAAAATGATTCGACTCCTGATCATGTATGGTGCCAACCTAAACATGAAGAATGCTGTAAGTATTCCCTAACTCTTTGCTGTTTTCCTAAGTAAGCCATGTTGAGTTTTTAAAGAAAATCAGGGCACTAGTTACTACAATAAAAACACCAAGACGACCACAGTAGGATTGGATTGCATCTAACTTTTGCTGGTTTCCATGTTCGTAGATTTTGCTGTCCACATTCACTTTCTAGTCTTGAACATTTGTGCTAGCAAATTGACTGGTTGTGAGGAATAGGTACAATTGGGCAAGAAAGATGCACTTGTTGAATGGAATTAGTGTCTGTGGGGGATGCACATTCATTGCCCATGCACCACCCCTCAAAGGTGACATGCACCCAGAAAGACATTTTTGATGCATTTGTCACTTCAAAGAGGGATAAGCGGTCATTATTAAGAGAGCTTCCCACCACCACATCTGCAGAAAGCTAAGTCACAGAAACAGAGGAGAGCAATGATGACATTTCTTTCTTTTTTTTTTAAAAAATTTTTTATTAGTTTTCCAAACATGTAGTATAAACAAACAACAAAACAAAACAAAACATACACACAAATAAACATGTACAATTTCATAAACTCATTCTCCTTCACCTTGTTTCCCGGACTTCCCCATACCTCCCTTTTTCTGCATCCTTATTTTTCCCTTTTAACAGCAACCCTTCATTTCATTATTAATTCATCTTCATTATAGCTCCTTTAAATTTATGATATACAGCTGCAATTCTCTATTTTTTAACACCATAACATCTCAGCACTCTTCAATTTTACAACAGTTTTTAAGATATACTTTAAATTTCTTCCAATCTTCTTCCACTGTCTCTTTCCCCTGGTCACGGATTCTGCCGGTCATCTCAGCCATTCCCATGTAGTCAATCACCTTCACTTGCCATTCTTCCAGAGTGGGTAGCAATGATGACATTTCAAGGGGGTAAAAATTAATGCCGTTTCCCTAACTTTCCTCCATAGGAGGGGAAAACTCCAATGGATCTTGTTCTGCAGTGGCAAAATGGCACCAAAGAAATATTCAACAGCCTGAAGGAGAACTCTTACAAGAGCTCCCCTATAGACACATTCTGAAGACTCAAAATGTCAATGGACTGGACAGTTTCCTTGCAAAAAGCAAGATATCACCAATGTGAAGAGCAGGAGCATTATAAATGCCGCCACCTTCACAGAATACAAGCATTTTGTCCTGCTGCCTTTGCTAAAGCCACAAGGAACCAAAGAGGGTCCTGAAATACTTCAAAGGCAGTTTCGAGTGTTGAGACGCCACTGATATCAAGCTGGTTTATTTATTTCTATTCCATCATTTCTCCCATAGTGTTTCTTTTCCGATATTTTCAATAAGTCGTGTTGGTACTGCTGTTCTATAGAAAAAGGCCATCTTACTAATGTGGTAATCTGAACCAGTCAGGAGCATTAAGCCCCTTTAAAAACCACACACAAGCCAACAGGCTTTCAGAGCCTATTAGCAGTGTTTCCCATTAAACCCTCTTTCGATAGGCAGTATTTGTTATTGTCACCCAGTTTCTGCTGAATTGCTATTGTCAGAGCAAGCTGTTAAAAAAGCAAAGATCAGAGGGTTGGAGAATAGTAGTGAGAAAAAGGGGAAAGCAAAGTGGAATAAAAAAAAGGAAGGGCTCTGCTCTTCCACGGAAGTTTTTAATTCAGGCTACCTGAAGAGGCAGCCAACATGGCACTGTCCTGGTGTTGTGGGATTAAACCGCCCTACCAACCTCATCGACTGGCCATGTTGGCTGGGGCTAGTGGGAATTGGGAGTCTAGGAACCTCCAGAGGCCGCCATATTGGCTACCTCTAAACTGCAGTGTTCAAGACAGGAAGTTGGGCGGACGAAGAGGACAGAATCCAAAGATGAAGAGGAAAAGTTGCCGTTACTGTCAAAGCTCAATATTGTAACAAATGGTAGTGTATATTTGTATGGCTCTTTATGTACATTTTGTATTAAACCCTATTTAAACGTTTTAAAAGAAGCAACAGAACCGCTCGCTTTAATCTACCGGAATGTATTATTTCTTTATCTGAAAATGTTACGAGGGATAGAAGATGCTGGAGTCATGGGGGAAAGAAAGTGCACCCTCTTTGAATTCTGTGGTTTTACATATCAGGACATAACAACAACAATCTGTTCCTTAGCAGCTCTTAAAATTAGGTAAATACAACCTCAGATGAACAACAACACATGACATATTACACCGTGATTTATTCAACAAAAATAAAGCCAAAATGTCCTCATGTAAAACTACAGAATTCAAAGAGGGTGTACTTTCCTTCTCCCATGTGTTTGTGTGTACAAACAACACACGTTTCAACCAAGATGAAAAATTGGATACCATATTCTTTGTTAGTAGGAGCCCTGAAAGTCATTAACTCTTGAGGCCGGGGAAGAATTTTCAAATGTTATTCTCTATGACTTGAAGGGAACTAAGACAGCCCTATCCCAAACCATTCCCACAGTCTAGCTCAGGTCCGTATTATATAGAAACCTACCACCAGACCACTTTATAACTGATAAAGCTGAAGTAGCATCTTAGTTGAATTAAAGGAGGAAAAGTCAGTGGCAAGAGGACACACACACACACACACACACACACACACACTTTGCAAAGTAAACATTTCTGAATGATTTTTAGTTTACTCAGAGATCAAAGCCAAGCCCAATCAGTTCTGCCAAGGCAAGAGTTTCAGGTGGCGATGCACGTCAGTTGCAAAATAAATATGAAATACTTTTGAAGCTGTAACAGCAACACCTGAAGCTACTTGGTAATAAGCAATCCTGACGGTATTTGCTGGCATTCCTGTTGAGTTTCAGGGCCACAGCCCACAAACAGCCATTCCTTTATCTTGTGAACCTCTCTGAGATCTTCCAGTGAAGGGCAGCATATGTTAAACAAACAAACAAACAAACAATGGCACTAGTGAGCAGGCCTTTGGGACACAATGTAGTTGCAATGCAAACCCTTTCAAACTCTTTGCTATTGGGGATCTAATTAGATGCAAGGGAAGCCCAACCCATGTGCTAGAATATACAAATTTCGGAGAGAGCATACATTGGTGCTGAGAGGAGAATCAGGGGCAATTTAAAGTGGAGAAGCAGAAGGAACAGGGCTGAGCACTCCCTCCCAAAATCACCTATCCCAGGCTTCCTCAACCTCGGCCCTCCAGATGTTTTCGGCCTACAACTCCCATGATCCCTAGCTAGCAGGACCAGTGGTCAAGGATGATGGGAATTGTAGTCTCAAAACATCTGGAGGACCAAGGTTGAGGAAGCCTGACCTACCCTCACTTGATTTCCTCCTGGGAAGGCTTGCTTCTGGCCTTGGATCCTAGTCGGAAGAAAAGCGGCCCTTTTCTGCTAATCATCCCTTCTCTGCATGAAATCGCCTCTGCCCACCCTCCCCCACTCTGTCTCCTTTGGACAGCAACCTGTGTTCCAGAGCACAGTTATGCTAGTGTCATAACGCGCAGGTCCTTTTAATTCAAACCTTTAATTTAACGCAATAAAAAGAAAAGCTCTTAGAACTTCTCTTCCCCCTCACACACACACCTTTGGGGAGAAAGCCAATTACAGCCGTGCCTTAGGAAACTGAAGATAAAAGGGCATCACGTGGAAGAATAGACATTCCAAGGTAATGAGACAGAAAGCACCAGCCAAGTCTTAATTCTCTTGTTCCCGTCAAGGTGAAGATGGCTGTTGAAGTTTCAGCTGGGCAGAAAGTAAGCTGTGTCTTACATGCATAGGCAACAATCTTGTTAGTCAATGGCAGACGGCCTTCTCAGTGGTGGCGCCTGCCCTGTGGAACGCCCTCCTATCAGATGTTAAGGAAATAAACAACTATCTGATTTTTAGAAGACACCTGAAACCAGCCCTGTTTAGGGAAGTTTTTAATGTTTGATCTTTTATAGTGGTTTTAATATTCTGTTGGGAGCCACTCAGAATGGCTGGGGTGGGGAATAAACAAACAAACAAAATGGCCCCTTGCTCAGGATGTGAAACAACCATTGTGCATGTTCAAATAGTTTTGAGGGGGGAACAAATACATCAGGCAATGGATACTACACTTAGCTGCGGTCCATCCACTGGTGTGGATAGGAAAATGGCAGACCATGCTAAAGAAAAACATTGAAATTTACCAGTGGTGAAGCAGGTTTGTTGCCGTTCCACAAACAGCTAAAAACGTAGAAGCAACAGCAATGGAAACCACTCTAGTTGTACGGCACCCTAATACACGTTGCCCAAAATGTTCCAGATGGTCAGGTCTCCCTACTATAGACACACACAAGGTATGGTTAGCAAACGTATAACTTCAGCTCCCACTGCAGAGTATGCAACTTCTTTCCCTGGGCACAAACAATAGTATACGCTCACAGCTCCGCAGTTTGGAATTCACAGTTGCAACCTGTGACTTTAATTCGGTGGTCAGGTTCCAGGAAAACTCTGCAATCATTTGTGTGTGCGTGCACGAACTGATTTGATAGTGATCAGGTGATTACGCATCTGGGGAGATTCGAGTCCTAGAAACTTACCAAACAAAAGGGTTGGTAAAAAATAAAGCAAGTCTTCAGTACAAAAGGCTTCATCATAAAAGAGAGTGTCTGTAATCTCCCATTCCTATTCCAATGGGAAGCCATGGAACATTATCTTCTGCCCTGGTGTCCACAGTCAAGTCGCTCCACTGAGGCTTACCCACACTGAATTGTCAAATTGTAAAGCACCCTATTCTTATCAAGCCACGCAACTGGGGTATTTTAGAGGTTTGGGGGGTTGATGGCTCCCCTGAAAAGAGCCTTCTTGTCACAAAGCCGTCTTGGCTTTTTTACTGACTGGAGTAGTCTCATCTTCCTCCGTGGTTCGAGTTTTTTTCTTGGTGTACACTACGCCAGAGGCAGTCTTCCGGGCTTCTGAAATCAAAACGGAGGGAGACATTTAGAAAGGATCCCCGAATCACAAGCTGCTGGCTTGCAAAAGTGAACAAGGCAAGGGCTCCACACCACTGTGCTATAGCGATTGCAACCAAGGAGACCACTCCTGTACAACTAAGGGAGCTGATCCACCATCACTATCATGGCAGCGTTTTGCTATCAAAAAAGGGACCAGATGGACGTTGAGCAGATGAAATGCGGCACATGAACAGACCCATACAGGTATGTCAGCTATAACTAGGCAAGATAGGCAGCCTTTGCATCATTAATTGGGCAGATGAACAGGGCAACTCAACTGGCTCTTGCAAGATGCTCTAGAAACTAGGTCAGCACAAAACATTCTGCACACTCCCGAGCTCCGCAGACCTATAAAGTCAAAGCACTTATTTGGAATCATTTAAATGAAGGCAGTGCTGACACATCCCCTGCTCATCCAGGACGGTAGTCTAGGCCAGGAACCTGTGGCCCTCCAGCTGTCATTGGGACTCTAAAACTTCCCAAACGTCACAGATGAGGGGAGCCGTGCTCCAACAACTTCTGAGTGCATCGTGCCAAGCAATCCTACTCTAGGGAACACGGCGTTTTAAATGCCGAACTGCAACAAAACCAGAAAAGGTGCTCTGTCGCCATTTATACCACTCAGGGTGAGGGCCTGGATGGGTGGAGGATGTGGGGGAAAGATGTTAAGCTACTCAAAAGCCACAGAGTGAGAATCTGTTGGCACAGAGTGCGGCCCACTTTGTGTGATGGACAGAGAAGGAACGGTTGGGCTGCATTAAGTGGGAAAATCGGGTGGGAGCTGCTGCTCAAACCACCGGTTGTTTATTCTGTTTCAATCAGCTTGAATGTTTTATTTACTTTTACCTAGGTGTTTGGTTAAATTGGAAATAATTTTGATGCTGTAGTTTTGCTTGTTTACCTTATGGTAGATTGTTAAATTGTTTCTTGGACCTGTTTATACGATTTTGTAATTTATGTATCTTGCCCCCCACCCCCCCGCCATGACTTTTCCTATGACTTCTGTTCCCTGCTTTGGGACTAAACACATTCATTGACGAGCGGGTAGAAATACTATAAATAAATAAAGCTAGTTTTACATTAGCGCAGGTATACTATTTCCCCCCTGTGATTTTAATATAGAATATAATATTTAATAAGCCCACATTGCACTTTTTAAATAGACATTATGAAAACATTGCTTAGATTTAGGTAGGTAGCCGTGTTGCTGTGACGCAGTAGAAATACTTAAACATACAATGTCCAGTAGCACCTTAGAGAGCAACTAAGTTTGTTCTTGGTATGAGCTTCGGTGTGCATGCACACTTCTTCAGATTTATTAACTTTGGACATTCTTGCAAATACGTTCGTTATCCCAGTTACTGTTCCAGCTTACCTCCATGAAGCAGGACTGCTCGGCCATTCGTAGAAACTGCTGCCTTGGCATTGCTTTCAGACAGGCCAAACAGCCACCCTCTTTCCACTTTCGTTAAGGATATTCAAGCACAAAGAGGGCAAAACATGCTTGAGGCATAGCTAAGCACAGCTCCTCTACCAACCTACAAAAGCTACTGTGGCACACAGGACGGAGTACTGAAGTTGTCAAAGTTCAGCATGTTCAAATCACTCTCAGCTCCCCAGATATTGGGAGGACGGAAATCAGAATAACCTGTCTGACAAAAGTGTTTGTCAAATTAAAGGGGTGGGGAATCTGCGGCCCTCCTGATGTTGTCAAGACCACAACTTCCACCATCCATTGCTATTTGTCTCCAGCTCCCAGCCAGCACGGACAGCATCATCATTCTAGAGGGCCACAGGTTGGCCACACCAATATTTTAACTTGGGGTGGTTGTGGCACTATATTCCAAACAATGATCTGAACCACTTAGCTGCTTCTCAGGTCACAGGTGTTTAAATACAGATTCATTTTCAAGGATAGCAAGGCAGGTTGGGATCTTTCTGTTCATTTAGTATTTTTGATGCAACAAGCAAACATCAGAACCGAAACACCAGCACTAGATACCCGTGGTTCCAGTCTCTTAACATTCCGTATGACTACAGTAAGCTAGTATACAACCACAGAGTGTAGAAGAATATATATCTGCAGCATTTACAGGCTATTGCACACAAAGGCATTGGGAGACTGTTCTATTTATTGGCTGCCCAACAAAAAAAAGGAATCTTGAGGCACTGGAGTGGGGATGTTCTAAACTTTCTTAGAATGCCTTATCTTAATTGGCAACCCTTGCCCATTATTCTAGTAATATTATGGGTTGGCTCTTCTGTTTTCCACTTTGTTATATCTGTGTATGGATTGTATTGTTTGAAAAAAGGCTTTTAAAAGAGAAAATGCAGTGGTACCTCGCAAGACGAATGCCTCGCAAGACAAAAAACTCGCTAGACGAAAGGGTTTTTTGTTTTTTGAGCTGCTTCGCAAGACGATTTTCCCTATGGGCTTGCTTCGCAAGACGGAAACATCTTGCAAGTTTGTTTCCTTTTTCTTAACACCGTTAATACAGTTGCGACTTGACTTTGAGGAGCAACTCACAGAACGCGGTGTGGTAGCCTTTTTTGAGGTTTTTAAAGACTGGTGATTTTTGAAGCTTTTCCAAAACTTTCCCGACACCGTGCTTCACAAGACGAAAAAAATCGCAAGACGACAAAACTTGCGGAACGAATTAATTTCGTCTTGCGAGGCACCACTGTGTTGAATGTTACTCCCAACCCCAAACTATCAATCTGTCCTTGCTGAATCCTGAAGGTCCACTGTCAGCCAGGACCCATTTGGCTCACCGTGCAAGAAAACCCCAGGAGATGATTTCCCCCTTCCCTCCCTAGTCCATCTCTTTCTCAGCTTCGTGCTCCCTCTACACCACCCTTTGCAGACACCCTCCTTTTCAAATCACTGCTTTGTCTTCCTCCTCCATTTCTTTCAGCTACTTTCTTACCCTCCTAGCACTGCTTCAGCCTCACACCTTGTCTCCTGCCATCGCTACACAGCCCTTCCTTGTCTCTGGGCTCTCTTGCATTATTTCCTCTCCAAACAAACTGACCTTTCACTCCTCTCACAAAAAGCATGATCGTTTATGAGCATTCTGCTGCTGACAGTTTTACCCTTCCAAGGAGAGGCTAACAGCTGTATCTCAGGCAGCGAAGTTCTGAAGGTCCTAACAAACACACTTGAAAAGGATACAGGTTCGCCACATCGTACGGACCTCGTAGTTGTAGAGGCTGCAATAGAAGAGAAAGCCATCATGCATGTGACAAATAAACAATTGTATACGCTAGGGAAGTGTATGGAATGTATGGATGTATGGAAGTGAAAGCTGGACCATAAAGAAGGCTGATCGCCGAAGAATTGATGCTTTTGAATTATGGTGCTGGAGGAGACTCTTGAGAGTCCCATGGACTGCAAGAAGATCAAACCTCTCCATTCTGAAGGAAATCAGCCCTGAGTGCTCACTGGAAGGACAGATCGTGAAGCTGAGGCTCCAATACTTTGGCCACCTCATGAGAAGAGAAGACTCCCTGGAAAAGACCCTGATGTTGGGAAAGTTGGAGGGCACAAGGAGAAGGGGACGACAGAGGACAAGATGGTTGGATAGTGTTCTCGAAGCTACCAACATGAGTTTGACCAAACTGCGGGAGACAGTAGAAGACAGGAGTGCCTGCCGTGCTCTGGTCCATGGGGTCACGAAGAGTCAGACACGACTAAACAACAACAACATACGCTAGGGCAGTGTTCTTCGCCCTTGGGCCCCCAAATGATGCTGAACTCCCAACCCCATTGGTCTGAGTCTGCCTGGTCAATGACCAGGGATTAGCCGTGCCTAGGAGTTGCTAGAAAAAAACCAAAGAAATACCAAATTTTAGGTAAAGGTTATGTGAGTTTCCCCAAACGAAATGGAGTGTGTGGGAAGACATGTGTGTGCAAATGCTGCTTGGTTAGCAAAAGATAAATACAAAGGGATGATCATTCAAAAGGAACCCAGGAAGCTACCAGAGTCAGATCCTTGGCACATTTAGCTCAGTATTGTTTTCAATGACTTGGAAGCAGCTCTCCAGGATTTTAGAAAGCAACCCCAGTTCTAATGGAAGATGCCATGGATTGAACCCAGGATTTTCTGTAGGCAACCCAAGTCCTCCAATGAAGCACAAATGTGAAGCACCCATTAGTCACTGCAGGACTACACACACACACACACACACACACACTCACTCACTTACCTTTTCTGCTGCACTGGATAAAATTATATTCTAGGAAATAAGGCAACACAAAAAACTAATTAGTGGAAGTTTCTGAAGCCATTCTCTTTCTTCTTCAAAACGCTTTCCCCAATGCAGAACCACCATGTGGACACAAAACGGCACATTATATATACACACACACACCCTCTGAGCAGCCTTGTGCATTGCAGTGCACAATTCAATGTGCAGATCTCACTGGGAAGCAAACATGCCATATGCACCTTCCTCACAAACTAATGAAGAACACCGGGGGGTGGGGACAAGTCCTGTGAGCACAGGGGAAAGGGCAAGACAAGGAAATAATTCAATATTGGTGATTAATCAAACCAAGACACTGCTATAGTGCACCTGAATCAGGATTCTCTTAAGGTGCTTGGACCGAGCGGTTACAAGTCAATGTGCTGCAGAGATTTGAGAGGTGAAGTAGCAGTTAATAGGCCAGGGTTCAAAGCCCTCCTTAGTCATGAAGTTCACTGGGTGACTTTGGGGCTGTGACCTTTGCTTAGCCTAACCTACCTCGCAGGGCTGCCATAAGGATAAAATAGTGTGTGTATGTATGTGCCTATGTGTTGGGGTGGGTGGGGGAAAACCCATATACAGCCATACCTCGGAAGTTGAACAGAATCTGTTCCGGAAGTCCGTTCAACTTCCGAAACCAAATCGCGACTTCTGATTGGCTCCAGGAAGCTCCTGCAGCCAACTGGAAGCCCCATCGGACGTTCAGCTTCCAAAAGAATGTTTGAAAACCAGAACACTAACTTCCGGTTTTCAATCATTGGGGAGCTTGGCGTTTGGGAGCCAAGGTATGACTGTATGCTGCTTCAGCTCCGGGAGGGAACAGTGGGCTATAAATAATAAAAAAACATGGCATGGACTTTGGATAATATATTCTCAGAGAAAAACTGGGATAGGTTACATTATTTCATGCAAACCTGACTCATCCTAATTCAAAACCACAACATCCACGACCGGCAAGAACAAAATGATGAACAAGACAAGCACCCATTCTGCTTTTGCTTGTCATGGGTAGAGGGGGTGGTAGTCTGGGGCCCATCAGCTGGGGATGAAATGGGCCCCCACCCACACAAGACAGAACTTCACTGACCCCACAGGCATGCAGACAAATATTGGTCTGCCAATAAAAGTAAGAAGCACAGGACCCATTCTCTGTGGCTTTCAGGGCCTATGCAATATTTAGCATCTTAGCTGAAGCAGAAGAAAAGGGTTGGTCTACTTGAGAAGGGGTGGGGAACACTGGGTCCCCCAGATATTGCTGAACTACAATCCCCATCATCCTTGGTCACCGGCCATGTTTGCAGGGGCTGATGGGAGTTATAGTTCAGCAGCATCTGAAGGGCCTAAGGTCCCCTACTCAAATCTTATAATCTCCCAAAGTTGTGGATTACTCTTAGGACGGCAGCAGGCTATGTATGCACCATGCGGTTAAAACAACAACAACCCCAAACACTTTCCTGTTTTAAATAGGTAGGAAAGAGAGCGATGGAGGACCTCTTTTCTTTCTCTTACTCTCCACAACCTCCCCCACGCCAAAAAATAGCCATGAAGTGCTGAGGTTCTGTTCTGACAGAGGGGGAAGGTTTCACAGAGGCTAATAAAAAGCATCCTCTTCCTGAAGCCTTCCCCCCCCCCAAGCCCCAAACAGCATTTCAAGGCTCCTGTTTTAGGATGGCCCAAATTCTGCTGAGAAGACACGCTTGTTAAGGGGCAGTGACCCAGACATTTCCCCTCTCCCCTTCCTTCAACAGGCAATCTGATGTTAATAGTCTGCCCTCCTTCAGGAGTTCCACAGCTTTCCCGAGAAAGTTTCCAAAGTCAGAAACGTATCAGTCACACCGAGCTCTCAAACAATGATCTTTTGCTGCGGTAATCGAAGACCAACAGAAGGAAAAGGGGAACAGTTCAAGCTGCCGATTCTTAATTCAAAACAACATTAACTGGAAGGGGGGGGGGAAGTTCTGACGAAAAAGAAGTGGGGCAAACCTGCTCATTTTGAGCCTCACCTTCCCTCGGCAGATCTGCATCAGGCTGAGCGCATTTGAAACCGTGTATCTCCTCATTGTGGAGTCTTTGATGGCAGGCACATAAATAAGTTCAAAGTAGATGCCTCGATCTATTGCCTTCACATGAAAGAAAAACAAACAGAAGCTGAAGGGAGTGTGACACAGTCAACGTCTCACAGCTATTGTATATTATTGATGTGTTTTCCCCGCTGTCTCATCTCCTCCAAAAAGCAGAGGCACCCAGTGGGACAAAGTTAATGGCTCTCTACAAAAGCAAAAGTCCCTCCTCCTCCTCCTCCTCTGATACACATAACATAAAAAACGCACTTGGGATTTCCAAACTGTAAAGTGTTTGGCAATTCCACACCTCTGCAGATCTGGTATTGCTTCTTCTGGTTTTTTTTTTAACAGGAGAATTTCGATTTTGGCAGGGTGTATAAAAGTCCCAGCAGTGCCACAAAAGCTCATGCCCACCTTGTTAATTAATTAATGCTATTTATATACTGCTTAATTACTGTAGATTTCTATCCATTATATTTTACCTGCCCAATCAGAATGAATTTCAGGAACCAAAAATGTCTTATTGAAAAATACAAATTTTGAGCTGCCTGGCCCCCAAATGTGCAACTAGGCATTCCGTTTTGGCAACTGTAACCCTGATTTAAGAATCCATTGGGTGCCTGGGCTTATATATCTGTGTTTCTAACATGATACCTGACCTGCTTCTCCACAGAGGACAAAACTGTTAACGGACAAGAAGAAGAAGAGGAGTTTGGATTTGATATCCCGCCTTTCACTCACCTTCAGGAGTCTCAAAGCGGCTAACATTCTCCTTTCCCTCCCTCCCCCACAACAAACACTCTGTGAGGTGAGTGGGGCTGAGAGACTTCAGAGAAGTGTGACTGGCCCAAGGTCACCCAGGAGCTGCATGTGGAGGAGCGGAGACGCGAACCCGGTTCCCCGGATTATGAGACTACCACTCTTAACCACTACACCACACTGGCTCAAGCAGAAAAACATAAGGAGAAAGAAGAGGAATGTCAGGACTGCGCACGACATTGGCAGGCCACCTTACCACATTCACAGAGGGTCTCTTAATGTAGAACGGCAGCTTTTCTGTTACGTTGATGCACACAATATCTACGTCTAAGGTTGTGCAGGCCACCTGTATTGCAAATTTGAAAGCAGAGGGTTACTTTTTTTATTAAAAAAAAAGGCGGACACTGACATACTTGCATAGTTTCCCTACAAGTTCTAGTATTGTGCACTGCAGCAGAATAGCTGACAGGAAAGCAATTGTTGCCCAAGTGTCAAGGAAAGAGTTAGCACCCAAGGACTCTACTCCAGACTAGGGATGGGGAAAGCTGTGGCCTTCTAGGCATGGTTGAATGGTAGCTCCCATCAGTCCTAGCCAAAATTGTCAGCTCCCATCTTCATAGGATGGAAATAAGCGGTTTTACTGGATTGCTTCTATTCCGTATGTTGATTATTCTTAGTTGAAAATTTAAGGGTTTCATTGAAGCGAGAACTGAGTAGATTGGGTGGGCGTACAGAGAGCCCGATGGTTGAATCAAGTGTATGTGGGGGCTGTTATGTTTACGTTATAGTTTTGTGTACTGTGAATGTGTATGTGATTTTGGAGACGGTATGATTATGTGTTTCTTTTTATAAGACGTACGAGATTTCCAAGATATTATACTATAATTATGCTGCATTTTGATGTTTTCCACAGGATCTGCTTTTGTGGCTCTTAAGTTGTCTTTACAAATGTACATTGTCTAAAAACATTTATTGTTGTTTAATTAAGTTACTTAAAATGTGGAACTGCTGTGAGGTACAGAATGCAGAATCCGAACTGTATTTCTTATATCGGCACCATTTTGTGGAGATATACAAGCTGCTTAGAGATTTCTGTTGATGTGTGAAGTGGTATATAAACTGAACGAAGCCCAACAGCACCTTGGAGACCACAGGTTCTTCATCCCTGCAATGGACCTAGTGTATTCTTCCAGCATTGCATGTTGAGGTCAGGGCGGAAAGGGGTTAATCAGAGCAGCATTAAAAGAGCAGAGATCTCATACGTTTAATGATGGTATGTAAAACCCTGGAGCAAACTATCAGTACCTCTAACTGCTGAGAGGAAGGAAGGAATATTTCTGAGCCAAAAGATGAGGGAGGTTCTCTTTGAACACCTCACTGAGCTGCAGCCCTTAGGAATATCCGTTTACCACCCCCCCCCATCACACATTCCTCACGAGTCCCAAAACTTTGCGGAAGGTAGTCTAACTGAGACGAAGGAATGCAAAGGAGGAATCCAACTAAAAAAGGTTATGTTCTCTGGAATTTGGAAGGCACATACACTCCCTTCATATAATATCAAAACGTAGTATATCTATGGGCTTTCCCCTCTTGAGCGTCACATACAGTGGTACCCCGCAAGACGAACGCCTCGCAAGACGGAAAACCCGCTAGACGAAAGGGTTTTCCGTTTTGGAGGCGCTTCGCAAGACGAAGTTCCCTATGGGCTTGCTTCGCAAGACGAAAGCCCATAGGGAAATCTCCGGGACAGCGGGGAAGCGCCTCCGCTGTCGCCCGCCAGCATTTTAAAAAGCCCCGGGACAGCGGGGGACTTCTCCGCTGTCCGGGGCGATCTTAAAATGCTGGCGGGCAGGAGCGAAGCCTCCGCTGTCGCCCGCCAGCATTTTAAAAAGCCCCGGGACAGCGGGGGACTTCTCCGCTGTCCGGGGCGATCTTAAAATGCTGGCGGGCGGGAGCGAAGCCTCCGCTGTCGCCCGCCAGCATTTTAAAAAGCCCCGGGACAGCGGGGGACTTCTCCGCTGTTCCGGGGCAATTTAAAAGCCCCGGACCATGCCCCGATGCCGGTGGACGGGCGGGAACGCCTCCCCCGCCGCCCGCCATCGGGACCATGCCCCGATGCCGGGCGGAGGGCTTTTAAAGGCAGGCAGGCAGGCAGGGGGGACAAAGATTTTTGCCCCCCGCCAGCCTTCAGAAGAGGTCCAGGACCTCTTCTGAAGGCTGGCGGGGGGCGAAAATCTTTGTCCCCCCTGCCTGCCTGCCTGCCTGCCTGCCTGCCTGCCTGCCTGCCTGCCTGCCTTTAAAAGCCCTCCCGGGAGAGCGGAGAAACGCGTTGCGTTTCTCCGCTCTCCCGGGAGGGCTTTTAAAAGCAGGCAGGCAAGGGGGACAAAGATTTTCGCCCCCCGCCAATCTTCTGAAGGCTGGCGGGGGGCGAAAATCTTTGTCCCCCCTGGCTGCCTTCCCAGGAGGGCTTTTAAATCACCCCGGACAGCGGAGAAGTTCTCTGCTGTCCGGGGCGATTTTAAAATGCTGCCGGGGGGGGGGGGGGAAGACTTTCGCCCCCCCAGCCTTCTGAAGGCTGGCGGGGGGCAAAAATCTTTGTCCCCCCTGCCTGCCTGCCTGCCTGCCCCGTGCCCCGATGCCGGTGGACGGGCGGGAACACCCCGATGCCGGTGGACGGGCGGGAACGCCTCCCCCCGCCGCCCGCCATCGGGACCATGCCCCGATGCCCGGCGGCAGGCGGGAACGCCTCCCCCCGCCGCCCGCCATCGGGACCATGCCCCGATGCCGGGCGGAGGGCTTTTAAAGGCAGGCATGGGGGACAAAGATTTTCGCCCCCCGCCAGCCTTCAGAAGAGGTCCAGGACCTCTTCTGAAGGCTGGCGGGGGGCGAAAATCTTTGTCCCCCCTGCCTGCCTGCCTGCTTTTAAAACCCCGGGAGGGCTTTTAAAGGCAGGCAGGCAGGGGGGGACAAAGATTTTCGCCCCCCGCCAGCCTTCAGAAGAGGTCCTGGACCTCTTCTGAAGGCTGGCGGGGGGCGAAAATCTTTGTCCCCCCTGGCTGCCTTCCCGGGAGGGCTTTTAAATCGCCCCGGACAGCGGAGAAGTCCTCCGCTGTCCTGGGCGATTTTAAAATGCTGCCGTGGGGGGGGGGGATCAAAGACTTTCGCCCCCCCCCAGCCTTCAGAAGAGGTCGGGGGACAGATTGTCCCCGGACCTGGTCTGAAGTCGGTTTCCATAGGAACGCATTAATTGATTTTCAATGCATTCCTATGGGAAACCGTGCATCGCAAGACGAAAAACTTGCAAGAAGAAAAAACTTGCGGAACGAATTAATTTCGTCTTGCGAGGCACCACTGTACAGTGATCCTTACAATAACCCTGTAAGGCAGGACAGCATTGCAAAAGAGAGGCTAGGACAGAGGATGTAGTTTGTCCAAGGACCCTCAGGGAGTGTCTAGGGCAGTGTTAAAGCTCGACAGCTAGCAATTTCCTTGACACCAGAAAGAAAACTCAGCTGATTCCGTTCTTGAAACCGTGGCAACATAATTATTCACACCATCAAAAGGAATCTTAAACAGAATCTGCATCAGCCAGGGACACAAAACCCACAAGAAAGGGAGTTCTTCAAACTGCAGCAACAGCAAAGCTGGCCAACATTCGTCCAGAACGCTGATGTTAGAAAAGAAAACTTAACCACTGGCTTTTGTACAAACTCTCGATTTTTCCATGACTTGTAGGGATTTAAAATACTAAGTATGCAGAGAAAAGAAAACCTTGGGGTAGGGGTGAGGGCAAGGTAGGAAGAATACTGAAATGTGGCCTATTATTCTGGGAAAAAATATTTCCTTCCTTTAACAAGAGGCAACACTGCCATCTGCTGGGTACAGGACTACTCTCCATACCAAATATACCACTTGAAAACCCAACTAGTTCCTGTCCCAGTGTGCAACTGTTGTATGTTTACAGTTAAAAAACCCCATATTGTTGCTAGATAAATAATAGCAGTATTTTTTCTCTTGCCTTGGCATTCACCCAAGAAGCAGCGTTCAGTGAAATCTCTCCTCACATCAGAAAGAACAGAAATCTCCATTAGATCCCTGCTTGTCAATCACTACAAGAAGCAGTAGTAGCATGCATGTAACCCTGCGGGATGCATTCCCTTTGTGGGTATAAACCTTCTTGCAGTGGGAAAGACAAAAGGCTGGGACAATGGACATGACTCCAACCTCTGTAGAACAGGCTACATCAGAGATTCTCATGCAGGAGAGCAAACAAGAGTCATTCTCACAGTTCAAGGCCCTTGAGGAGGGCAGAGAAGTGAAGGGGGTAGCCTAGAGAGAAGGCCGTTGGATACGAGGTCTGAAGGGCCAAATGTGGCCTGTAGGCCCAAGACTTCCCAGCCCGATATAGCACTTTGAACACTTCAAAGCCCCTCACAAATGTGTCTGGACAACAGTATCTTGGCTTACTAAGCCAATATGAAGGAAGCACATGTCCGGATACAGTTTTTTGTTATGTCCAGTCCAGGAAGTCTTCCTCCAGTCTTCCTCATCAGATGCAGCTTGAGCTGTGGCCACCAAGGAAAAATGTCCCTTTGGGTCATCTGACATCACTGTGATGTCAGATGGCTGACAGGCGAGCAGCTTTCGGAGGGCCCGTCTTAGCGAAAACACAGAGCGAGTCAATAATCTGCAAGTGCCTTGGGGAGAGTCACTCTTGGGCATGGGTAGGATCCGACCCAATCGCCTTCTAAATCGGCCAGATTTAGTGTGTTTTTACATGAGTAGAATGTGTGCTTTTATTTAAAATGCATCTCTGGGTTATTTGTGGGGGCATAGGAATTCATTCATTATTTTCCCCCAAAATATATTCAGTGGACTGGCCCCCTGCTGGAAAGGTTTGCTGACCCCTGCTCTTGGGCATCAATCACTGAGCTGCCCATTGGCAGACCTGTGATCCACAGCAGCAACTACGCCACATGAAGAAATAAAGAGATCAGGCATTAGCAGTGCCATGAGCGGCTTCTGAGTTTTTGCAACTTCCTTCACAATTCAAATGCTTGGGGGGCGGTGGGGGGGAGAAGCAATTTTTAAAACTTACATGAAAGAGTTTTCCACTCTTAGGAAACACAGCAAAGATGTCGTAAAATTTTATGTTGGTAGATGTCGATCTCTAGGGCAGAAAAAAGAAAAAGTGTAACATTAAAAAAACCATTTTTCAGACTAGCCATTTAAGCTGGTGCTTTAAGCCTGGCCATAGCCCATCTCAGCAGAGAACTGTAACTGAAGGGACTGGAAGAAGCTGCTTGTAGCCAACGTGTCTCCTCCAGCACTTTAAATCCAATGCACTTTTTAAAGGGGGTGGGGGTGGGGGGAATGCCCTGTTGACAAATGGAGTGTTTTCCTCTCTCCTGAGAAAGCAATTTGCATTCAAAGCGCTGGGGGAAGAGTTTAGAATACAAACTACTTTCTCTCCATAGGGGAAAATGCTGTTTTCAAGCATGTTGGCTCCCAGAGAAGAGCTCACTGCTAAGACTACAAACCTTGGCTATAGATCGTGGTTGAGGAAGAGACACTTTAACCATGATACCAGGTTCGGATGGTACACTAAGCCAAACCTTGACTTGGCTCCTGCGCTGCGCTAACAGAACTGGAGGCAAGCAAAGCAGGCTTGAACGCCTGACTGGGCAAATTTGCACAGTCCTGGTAAATTTGGTTTACCATGGTGCGCAAGCGAGGCCAGTTTTTCCACCGCTCATGAAGCGAGATTGCCGGTTGATCCATCCAACATTGGCTAGATGTTGGCCTTTTTTCATCTGGCCTGGGAGGGAGATGCCCTGCCTGATTTCAGCTACAAAAAGCTGAAGCTGCTTCTTCAGCACAAGGTTGACTTGTAGGCAACCATTTTCCTGAGGGAAGTTAGTGTCTTCAAATGGCCAAATACAGAAGTTTTTATTGCTGCCCCCCCCCCCCAGATTGCCAGTGTGACATTTCTTCCATAAACAACTAAAAGATGTGCTGGCAGGCAAATTAGTAAAATTATATTTTGAACTAGTAAGTTTGGTAGACGTTTATGAAGGTGGTGGTGATGTTCCACGCCTTGCCAACCATTCTTAAGTTTCTGACAATTCTAGAGCATTTATTACTCAAGAACTATGGATTTTCTTCACTGTCTGCAAATTTGACTAGACTTTTTAAAAACTACAAATTTAGACATTGGGGGTCATTCAAATTTCTCGTGGAAGAGAGTTCCAGAGGTCAGCAAAGTTGTAAGGTAAAGGTAAAGGACCCCTGACCATTAGGTCCAGTCGTAACCGACTCGGGGGTTGCGGCGCTCATCTCGCTTTATTGGCAGAGGGAGCTGGCGTACAGCTTCCAGGTCATGTGGCCAGTATGACTAAACCGCTTCTGGCGAACCAGAGCAGCGCACGGAAACACCGTTTACCTTCCCGCTGGAGTGGTACCTATTTATCTACTTGCACTTTGATGTGATTTTGAATTGCTAGGTTGGCAGGAGCAGGTACAGAGCAACGGGAGCTCACCCCGTCGCGGGGATTCGAACTGCCGACCTTCTGATCGGCAAGTCCTAGGCTCTGTGGTTTAACCCACAGCGCCACCCACGTCCCCTACAGCAAAGTTGTAGTCTATCACTATAAAGCACAACAGATTCTAAGCCACTCTTCTTCTTTCTGTGAAATAGAAAAGGTTGTGAACTGCATCATAAGCTTACTAGAATATTGCAGTGCGATGGATCAGAAACAACAAGTGTTAGCCTCGATAAAATCTTAATTGGCTTGGATTTCCCCTGCAAAGAAGAAGAGAAGCAGCCGTGAGGAAAAGGAGTGAAACAGAAACCTTGGCAACATGCCTCCTACTCATCATTAATACAAAAATGAAGAATGATGCTGTGTTCAGAATTGGTGCCCACAAAATCTTGTATCTTTGCCCTTTCTTTAATTCATCAGGAGTGTTGGCAACCAAGGTCTATTTTTAGTCAGACAAAAGGGCTATAACTGTGCTGTTCATAGTCAAGTAATAAGCCCTTACACCGAGGACTCAAGGACTCTGCTCCTGGTAGAGAAGACTCAGTTTTCACTAAAGACGCTTATAACTGCTGCAGTTAAGCAGCTCCTTGCTTACAAGCCCACTTCTAACAACTTCACTCAGAATTACCCTTAAATTGCAATCTATCAATTGAAAGTGAGACAGTCGAACATTTCTGCTAATTACCCCCCTGCTTCCTTGTTGCAATGTACTCTACGTGGGGGTACCTTTGAAGGTGACCCAGAAACCACAACTAATCCAGAATGTGGCAGCTAGATTGGTGACTGTGAGCGGCCGCCGAGTCCACGTAACACCGGTCTTGAAAGACCTACATTGGCTCCCAGTACATTTCTGAGCACAATTCAAAGTGTTGGTGTTGACTTTAAAGCCCCAAATGGCCTTGGCCCAGTATACCTGAAGGAGCGCCTCCACCCCCATCGTTCTACCTGGACACTGAGATCCAGCGCCAAGGGCCTTCTGGAGGTTCCCTCACTGCGAGAAATCAATTACAGAGAACCAGGCAGAGGGCCTTTTCGGTAGTGGCGCCCACCCTGTGGAACGCCCTCCCATCAGATGCAACTCTGTCTCCTAACACCTCTCAGCACCCTTAATAAACTACAGTTCCCAGAATTCTTTGCATAGTCAGTACTAAAATGTACAGCTGCTACTACTACTATTTCCACGTTTTAAGTAATAGCAACAATAAATCTCAAATGAAGTATGTAAGTCAAATAAGGAACATAGGAAATGTTTTGATGCAAATGACTCTCCTTTTCCAGAAAAATTCCCCACAGAAAAAAGTTATCCAGAAAACCCACATCACTGCCTTCAAGAGATACTCTAAACATGTCCTTGAGAACAAATTATAGCTAGTAAAACACATCTGGACATACCTGTACGAGAGGCAGGACTGTAAACAATTCTTTGGGAGACAATGGCTTGACAATTTCCTGGAAACAAACAACACACAAACATGCTTAGTTGTTTTAAATGAAGCATGTAAGCAAAAGCTAGGAAGCTATTTTTTTAAAAAAAACCACAATGATGTAAAGTAGCAACCAAACTAAGATGAATGGGATCTGTGCTTGCTGGACTGGAAAAGTATCGGGAGGGCCAAATTCCAGAGCTCCTAACAAACATATGTTGCACAAGGCTTTGTTGTGAAGACTTACATTTAAAGTGCATTCCTATGCACTTCTGAGTCCAAATGGGTTTAATAGCATTTGATCCCAGTAAGAGCGTATAGGATTGCAGCTTCAAGTCAGCTTTTTTGCTTCTAACTAGGAAACTCTAACAGCATATAAACATGCAAGAAAATCAGGGCTTATACAGACACATTTATGATCAGACCCACTGAAGCACTCAGACTGGCTGGAGTAGCTCAGTCAGTTGAGCCCTATGTTGGGCAAAAAGGAAATCCTGCACTAAATGACCATCGTGGTCCCTTCCAACTCTACGAATACTTTTTCTTACTATACACATCCCACTGGTTGGGCATAATCCTCCCAAAGTTAATGAGTGTGAAATCCATGCTCATGTGAAAGATGACGAGAGTGAAATGCAGTAATGGCTCAAATGTCCTGATCATGCTCATTTATGTTTTCTGGTGCACGTTCAACTTCAGCCAAAATGAAATTTCAGAGTTTTCTTAAAGACTCAGCACCAGCCTCCTCCTATGCGAAGCACACTTTTATCTCCCGCCCAATCTGAAGCACAGCTAGAAATCACGCAATACGAGAGTGTTTATGTTTGAAAGTCACTGCCATGGACACTTAATGACCAGTGGCTTATAGCAGCCATTATGGTTACGCCACAGCCTTTTTGTGTGTGGCGGCCCCAACCGAGTTCAGTGGGGCTTACCTCCAGGTAAGCACGCCCATCAACCAGAAAAATGATTCCATGAACAAGAGTGGGAGGGTGGAGAATTTATCGAAACTCCTCACACTGCTGAGCCTATTTCCCGATGTGTCAGTTGAATTACCATTAATCTGGGTGTCCTACTACAACCACAATACCTTTTTTACACGGGGGGTGGTAAGACGTCCTCCATTTGGGCAGAGGTAAAATGGTAAAGGTAAAGGACCCCTGGACGGTTAAGTCCAGTCAAAGGTGACTATGGGGTTGCAACACTCATCTCGCTTTCAGGCCGAAGGAGCTGGCGTTTGTCCACAGACATCTTTCTGGGTTATGTGGCCAGCATGACTAAACCGCTTCTGGTGCACGGAGGACCATGACGAGTGCCAGAGCGCATGGAAATGCTGTTTACCTTCCCGCCGCAGTGGTACCTATTTATCTACTTGCACTGGCATGCTTTCAAACTGATAGGTTGACAGGAGCTGGGACAGAGCAAAGGGAGCTCACCGTGTCGCGGGGATTCGAACCACCAACCTTCCGGTCAGCAAGCCCAAGAGGCTCAGTGGTTTAGACCACAGTGCCACCTGTGTCCTGCATTTGGGTAGAGCTGCAAAATGAGCATGTGAAAAAGACCCCTAACACACCCACACCCACACTCCTGTGAGCATGGGCCTCTGGAGTGAGTTCAGTGCCCTTGTTCATCTTCTGCATGTTCAGTACATATACAACAGAGGGAAGAAAGGCACTTCTGTATAGTATGTAATTAGCAGCATGATCGCTGCTAGCATACAACCCTCCCACTACTTCTTTTGCAGTCATCTCTCAGTTCAGCAAAGTTTCTAAAACGGTCTGCTTTGCCGCACCTGCACAAGCCCTGATAGTGTTTTAAAATAAAAAGTCCTACCTTCTTCTTTTCATCATAGTCAACGACGTAATTGATTGCAACAGTTGAATAGCCAACTAAAAAGCAAAGCACAGGCAATTTTTAATAATAATAATAATAATAATAATAATAATAATAATAATAATAATAATATAAAATAAAACAATTGATAGAATTGAGTCGTCATGTTCAGAGATGCACAACTCAGAGGACCAAATGCTAGGAGCCAGGGGGCAATAACTGAAGAAAAAGTGTCTTTGAAAAAGAGCAAAGGCCAATCTAGCCCAGCTTTCTGTTCTCACAATGGGCAGTCAGATGCCTGTGGGGAAACCCACAAGCAGTATGTAAAAACAGTAACACTACACTCATTTCCCCCAGCAATTGCATGGAGCCCGGACAGCCCCGTGGTTTTCCCCGGAGCTGAGGGTGATGAAACAATCGTTGAGACGGCTAGAGCGCCGGTGGCGGAAAACTCATTCTGAATCAGACCGGACACGGGCTAGAGCTCAACGTCGAGCCTACCAAGTGGCAATGGCGACGGCGAAGAGGGCCTTCTTCACCGCCTCCATTGCATCTGCAGAAAACAGCAGCAGGAGACTTTTTCAGGTAGTTCGCAATCTATCGGAACCACCTGAACCACCGGGGCCTGGTAGGGACCCCAAGATCTCCTGCAATGCTTTTGCAAAGTTTTTTGCAGATAAAGTCGCTCAGATTCAGAAGGAGGTAGACTCCACCGTGGGAGCAGGGCCAGGGTGGGAGAGTGCTAGAGTTCTGTCTGGTCCTGTTACATGGGATCAATTCCAATCTGTTACCTCCGAGGATGTGGACAGGCTGCTTGGACAAGTGAAACCGACCACCTGTCTCCTGGATCCTTGCCCATCCTGGCTGATAAAAGCGAGCCGGGAAGGGCTGGGCGATGGGCTCTGCGGGGTGGTGAATGCTTCCCTCTATGAGGGAGCCTTCCCAGACCCGCTGAAAGAGGCGGTCATTAAACCGCTTCTTAAAAAAACATCTTTAGACCCAGCCAATTTGGCCAACTATCGCCCAGTCTCAAATTTACCATTCTTGGGCAAGGTGATTGAGCGGGTGGTTGCCAGACAACTCCAAGCACGCCTGGAGGATGCGGACCATTTGGATCCCTTCCAATCGGGATTCAGGCCTCACCATGGGACTGAAACTGCCTTGGTCGCGCTGGTTGATGATCTCCGGCGGGCTAGGGACAAAGGTGAGAGCTGTTTCCTAGTTCTGCTGGATCTCTCAGCAGCTTTTGACACCATCGACCATAACATCCTTCTGGACCGTCTAGAGGGGCTGGGAGCTGGGGGCACTGTTATACGGTGGTTCCGCTCCTTTCTCCTGGGCCGTGTCCAGAAAGTGGTGGTGGGGGATGAGTGTTCAGACCCCTGGGCTCTCACTTGTGGGGTGCCTCAGGGTTCCGTCCTCTCCCCCATGCTTTTTAATATCTATATGAAGCCGCTGGGAGAGATCATCAGGGGGTTTGGGCTGGGTGTTCATCAGTATGCAGATGACACCCAGCTCTACCTCTCCTTTAAATCAGAACCAGTGAAGGCGGTGAAGGTCCTGTGTGAGTGCCTGGAGGCTGTTGGAGGATGGATGGCGGCTAACAGATTGAGGCTGAATCCTGACAAGACAGAAGTACTGTTTTTGGGGGACAGGGGGCGGGCAGGTGTGGGGGATTCCCTGGTCCTGAATGGGGTAACTGTGCCCCTGAAGGACCAGGTGCGCAGCCTGGGAGTCATTTTGGACTCACAGCTGTCCATGGAGGCACAGGTTAATTCTGTGTCCAGGGCAGCTGTTTACCAGCTCCACCTGGTACGCAGGCTAAGACCCTACCTGCCCGCAGACTGTCTTGCCAGAGTGGTGCATGCTCTAGTTATCTCCCGCTTAGACTACTGCAACGCGCTCTACGTGGGGCTACCTTTGAAGGTGACCCGGAAACTGCAATTAATCCAGAATGCGGCCGCTAGACTGGTGACTGGGAGTGGCCGCTGGGACCACATAACACCAGTTCTGAGAGATCTGCATTGGCTCCCAGTACGTTTCCGAGCACAATTCAAAGTGTTGGTGCTGACCTTTAAAGCCCTAAACGGCCTCGGTCCAGTATACCTGAAGGAGCGTCTCCACCCCCATCGTTCAGCCCGGACACTGAGATCCAGCGCCGAGGGCCTTCTGGCGGTTCCCTCATTGCGAGAAGTAAGGTTACAGGGAACCAGGCAGAGGGCCTTCTCGGTAGTGGCTCCTGCCCTGTGGAACGCCCTCCCAGCAGATGTCAAAGCAATAAACAACTATTTTACTTTTAAAAGTCATCTGAAGGCAGCCCTCTTTAGGGAAGTTTTTAATGTTTGATGCTGTACTGTTTTTAATATTCAGTTGGAAGCCGCCCAGAGTGGCTGGGGAAACCCAGCCAGATGGGCGGGGTATAAATAATAAATTATTATTATTATTATTATTATTATTATTATTATTATTATTATTATTATATTCAGGATTGTATGAGTTTGCTTGCTTGCTTTCCTCTCACCTCTCCAGCCTTTCCTTTTTGTGTCATGTCTTTTTCAGATTCTAAGTCCAAGACCAGGGAATATGTTAGGCAGTTTTATTTGTTTATAAGAAAGTCTGATACTTTTTTTTGGCTGGAAACTAGGGTATAAATACTTCTAATGAATAAACAGAATTCCTCACGTTTGATACAATGAAAACAAGCATAGCTTTGTTGCATGTCAGGATATGCCAGTAACCCAGTAAAAGAGGCAAAAAAAATATATTATCTCCTCTAACTACCCGTTCCATATTTCAGCTTAGGTCTGGGAGGGAGAAGGGAGCAGTTTCTTAAAACACATCCTACAGACAAAAAGCTCTCCGGCTGCAGTGGTTTTATTTGTACCCTTCTATCCTTGTCTAGAACCTTGCTACCAAAAAAATCATCCTTGTACTGATTTTGAGGAGCTAACACCAGGTCTATCTCAGTGTGCCAGAAGTTCTCAGCTACCATCAAAGTAAGCCTTCCTTCGGCTTCTTAAATAGAAAATCGGCGTTAGGGACTGTGCTGCTCCTCCTCTGAGCGCATGTTCGGAGCCTTCCCCAATCCGACCATTTAGGGACGACCCTGAAATCCTGGGCAACCCGAGGCAGGTCCTGCCCAACAACGTGTCGCCAGCGATCCTTACGAACCATCTCGTCTCGAGGAACAAAATGATCACCCCCGCGCCCCCGGGGATCGGAGCCTGAGCGCGCGGGCTGAGAGGGAGCAGAGGCGCGCCTAAGTCCTTGCTCATGGGGGTGGGAGGACGGGAATAAAGATTTGAACTCCCAATTAAAAACTCTGTACATAGCTTTAAAAAAAATTACTCCCAAATTAAGAATGCAGCAAAGGCAAGCGCGCGCACAACCCCGCGCTTTATCCTTTCCAAAAGCGCAGATGGAGCATCGACACAAGGGGCAAGGCAGGCGTCCCAAACCCGCGAGGGGGGCATGCAGAGCCAAGCTGGGGGTGCAGAGCCAGCCATTCCCTCCCCCGCCCGATCTTTGCCCGCTGCCCACTCACGGTGCGCTGCCGCCTCCACCAGCTTCTGCAGCGACGCCTTCTCTGCCAAGTGGGGAATGTTCAGGTCCACAAACTCGGCCATGTTGAAGCCACGTGGTGGGGAAGCGCAGCTTCTAATGCCCTGGCGCCCCGCTGCATGCTGGGAGTTGTAGTCTTTCCGCCCCCTTTCTTTCTCCTCCGCCCCCGTCTCACAGCGGGCGGGGATGTGGGACGGCCCAAGCTTAAAATCATAGCAGAGTTGGAAGGGGTCCATACCCTCCAACATTTCTCTGATGAAAATAGGGACGCCCCTTTACTATTTATACCCCACACATTTTACTGGGTTGCTCCAGCTTCTGTGGACAGCTTCCAACATACATAAAAGCGTCATAAAAAGATTAAACTTTTTTTTAAAAAAAACCATTCCCTATACAGTACAGGATTGCCTTCAGACGGCTCGGGGGTCGGGTAACTCCATACCCTCCAACATTTCCCCAATGAAAATAGGGACATCCTAAGGAAAAGTGGGACATTCCAGGATCAAATCAGAAACCGGGATGGCTTCTCTAAATCAAGGACGTCTCTGGAAACTAGGGAAACTAGGAGGGTCTGGGGGTTGCAAGGGCCGCCCATTCCAACCCCCTACAATGCAGGAATCTTTTGCCCAACGTGGGGCTTGAACCCACGACTCTGAGATGCTCTACAACCCAAAGCTGTAGGTTGTATAGCTTGCATATAAAGACAGGTTGCTGCTGGAAGCCTGAAGAGCTGGTCAAACTGGGAGATGATGCTAAACTAGATGGACGAATAGCCTGACCTGGAGGGAGGCAGCTTTCTGGGTTCTTACCTAGCCCTGGAGTCAGTGCTTGAATTATAGAGGGAAAGGGCAGCCTTTAATGACATTCACAGACTCCATCCTTTCCTGTTAAAGCAATATCATACTGCCCCCCCCCTTGCACTTTTAAAAGTAGTTAAGGCAGCATTGCAACTGGTACAGTATCCAGGGTCCCTCTGGCTCTCCTGTAATTCAAGCAGACCCCTGGAATTCATTGAAGGTTTCATAATCTATATTCCTACATTTATGTTATATCCCACCTTTCCTTCAAGGAGCTCTCTCTTCCCATTTTATCCCCACAACAACTATTTTGTTGAGTTAGGCTAAGAGACAGTGGGCTTTATTGGCTGCAGTGCCAGATTTATGTATAGGCTAAGTAGGCTGAAGCCTAGGGCCTCTAAATCTAGGGGGCCTTGCCACCCCTCCCACTCCCCAGCAGGCAGTCTCCCCTCTCCCAAAATTGCAAACCCAAGACTTCATGCGAGGGCAGGGCAACTTGGGCCTCTTAAGTCTAGGGGGCCTCACCAGCCTGCCCTCTCCCCAGTGCCGCAGTCTCCCCTCTCCCAAAATTGCAAGCCCAAGACTTCATGCAAAGGCAGGGCAACTCAGGCCCAGCAACTATGAGACTCAGGTGCCCAATTTGAAGCAGTGGGGCACAACTTGACCCCCCCCCCCCAGTTCACAGCCAAAGTCTGCAAAATCTTATTGATATAAATAAAATCCATCTAGATTGCCCTGGTGCAGGAGGCCCCTTAGGAACGGCGCACAGGGCCCAATTTGGCTCATTTGCTTCAATTGCCTTAAGGTCAGCCCTGATGAGACTGTGCAGGGGTTGGGCTGACAAGCCCTGCACCTTCTAGGTCCCTGGTGGCACTATTCAGAGTACAGAGTCGTGGACTTGTTTTGGAAATAAAGGGGGGCACTTATTGGAAATCAGTTTTGTCACCCCCCCAAAAAAACACCCCCGGGATGATGAGCCCAGCCACCTTTTATTCACAGTCGCATAAGCACAACACTACAGCATGGCCATAAACCTGTACGTTCAACTGCTGAAACATACACCCAATATGTAGCCATGGAAATTTATGTTACTGGTTTATGAATGAACACTGTGTTTTATGAATTGACTCTGCGTTTTGTGAATTACCTAAGAGTCACCAATAGGGAGTTCTAGAAACTGACAGCTAACCAATTAGGTACTACCAAACAGCGACCCCCTATTGCTGAAAGCAGGTAACCAGCAGGGAATGCTTCAGCTCAGCCTTTGCACTGTTGACTTAACACCCCCTGCTGTGCAGATAATGGAGAAAGCTCATAAATTGTATCCCTTCTGGCACCCTGGCCAACTCTATTAGACTGGTGTATACCCTGGTGCACCAGAAGCACAGAATAGCAGCAAATAAAATCCGCTCATACGTCAGCGACTGATAAGACTTGTCCACCAGTTCTTCCAAAGTCTTCCTAAATTATAAAGCTCCAAAATACAGGCCAAAAGAGAGCAGGTCTGGGAAGAGCAAGGCATACAATGGGCACCACCAGTGAAAAGGCCCTGCTCTGTGTAACTCTTGTCCTGTCATTTGATAGAGTGCCCACTTGCCCTCCTTCTTGACATGAATGCTCCCTATTGGAGTCTCCAGGTCCAGTACAAAGACCATAAAAAAGGAGAGGAGGGACCTTGAAGTTCCCAACAGCTGTTAATCAAGCAAGCAAACACACAGGTCACCTTTGTCACAGTCAGGACGCCTATGTCCTGGCCAGGCCTGCACCCAATCTTGTTTTTGTATAATCTTGTTTGTCCTCAGTAACCAAAATTATATTATCAACCTATACAAGCAGAAAAGTTGTTTTCCTTCATTTGCAAGGAATCGAACAAAACAAAGTGGCACTAATAAAGAAAAGTTCCAAGATGGCAATAGAAAGCAAACTAAAAATGCTTTTGCAGTTCATCAAAACTATCCAGCAATATCAAGTTATAGGAAAACTGGTGCTAGTAACAGTAATCCTTCTAGTTGGTTAATTGGTTCGGCAACTTCCATGCACATGACGTGTGATGCTAATTATTTCCCCCAAGAGATTCAGGTGAGGGTCAGATGCCTTGTCAATCCCAGCAGGTAAATAAGAGGACGACCTGGCCTGCCCAGGCCTACGGCCTGCCCAGCACGGAAGACTTGTGTATAATACGCAGTTCTGAAAGGGCCACAAAGGGTAAACCACCCAAAAGGTATGCTGAAGAGTTTGCTAAAATAGTCATAGCAGATACAGAGGAACTGCCATAGGCGGAAGGGACAGAGTGAGAACTGGAAAAGACGCCAAAAAGCAGACTAAGATTGTAAAGGAAGAGAGGCATCCAGGAGAGAAAGAGCCAAGAAGCAACACAGTGACCCCGTGTGTCCAGTACTGGAATAGACATTGACAGGAAAATATTCTTCTGAGACCTGCTGAATGAGGCAGTCACTAAACCGCTTCTTAAAAAAACAATTCTAGACCTGGCCAATATGGCCAACTATCGCCCAGTCTCAAATCTTCCATTCTTGGGCAAGGTGATTGAGCGAGTGGTTGCTGAACAACTCCAGGCACGCTGGATCCCTTCCAGTTGGGATTCAGGCCTCATCATGTTGAATATAGACTATAAAAATTTTACTGGGGTCTTAGGAAATAGGATGAAAATCATTTTAAAAAGAATTATAAGGAAAGACCAGGCTGGTTTCCTACCGGAAAGACATATAAAAGATAACACTAGGATAATTATCAACCTATTGGAATATGCTGAAATGAACCCAAGTAAAAAAATAGTAATGCTATTGGTAGATGCCGAAAAGGCGTTTGATTGTATCTCGTGGAGTTTCCTGACGGAGACATTTGAAAGTTTGAGAATAGGAAATAGAATAATGAATGGAATTAAAGCTATCTATAAAAAGCAAATAATGAAGTTAATGAAATTACAGAGGGATTTGTTATTGAGAGAGGGGTTAGAAAGGGATGCCCCCTGTTGCCGCTGTTATTCATTACAGTGCTGGAAATCCTTCTAGGAGCATTAAGAAAAGACAAGGAAATTAGAGGGATAATTCTGAAACCACCTTCACTGGGATTCTTCTTGCCAGTTTTGCTTCCCCCCGCCCCCTCACCCGTTAGCTGCATGTGTTTCGTGGCTGTGCACAACGCCCCCAGCAGCAAGGAATCCAGAGAGCTGATCTAGTATAGATATGAAGTCAGAAATAACATATGTGTTATACGTGAGTTTATGCACAAACACTGGCAGAGGAAGAGGCATGTGGGGGGAGCCCACTGCCCCTGGCAGCACGATCCCGGCAGGGTGCCATCGCGGCTGTTGCCCCTCCTGCGCTGGGCGCCACGCCCCTGCCTGCGCTCCGCCACTGTGTACAAAACAGTGAAATCATTTCTATGCTAAGTCTTCCTGAGATAACATTTGAAAATCACCTTTCCACTGCACAGCGGAATCCACAGGGATAACGTCCATACCTTGCAGACACATGGAACAATTTTATGGCAACAAACACACAAATCTGCTGGTTTTACCGATGACAGTTTAATGCAAGTGTCACAGGTATCAGTTGATCAACATATGGCACAAGAATTAACATCGTTCTTCAGTCTCTAGTCTCTTGGTGCAGGCCAGATGCCGCTAGAAAACAGCCAACTGCCTCGGTTTTTTCAAACTTGGTACTGTCTTGCTGCTGGACATCTCCAGGTACTCTTTACTGATGTTGCCTTACGTGAGATGTCCTTTTTCGGTTCCAGCCCAGTTCAGTGGCATCTTGTTAATCCTTCCTTGCGACCTGGCCATGTTCTCTATCTATATAGCTCAAAGGGAAAGAAGAGACGGCAACAGGTTTCTATGTCTCTGTGTTGTTTCAGCAAAAAAAACCCAACAACACACAAACAAACCAGATGGTAACTTTGCCTTTGGGAAGAGCAGACAACTTGTTTCCGTGGAACACATGCTTGATTGTGATTGAGAGTGATTTTCAGGGCAGAAAACTGCCTCCCTCCAGAAGCACAGCATGCTTCAAACTCTATGCACAAGCGATTATTTCTTCTCCAGCACGGCATCCTCACAGCTGGCTCACAGGATACCTTTCCATCAATGATGTCATCTCAAGAAAGTGTTTGTGTTGTGAGTATGTCAGAGCCAGGCTGGTCCACTGTTGGCTGGGGGTATCCTGGTTCAAATCCTGGTTCAGCCATGGAATGAATCTCTTACTTGAATAACCACAGGCACGTGGCCATTTCTTCCCCCAGTCTCTGCTCTCCATCTCTGTTGTTGTTTAGTCATTTAGTCGTGTCTGACTCTT